GGATGCCACAGCCGCGTCTGCAGGGAGGGGATCCCCACTGTATCGGCCAAGGGGTCCTCCTGTTATGGGGCACCTGAGCACTGTGGTACGCAGGACTGCCTTTACCTCCTTGACCTGCTTAGAGAAACAAACGCGCCTTTGCAGAAATGGCGTCACTTTCAAATTATTTGAATTGGTCATGTGAAGGGTTTTGGTGTGCCCCTGACTCTGGGAAGGTGTGATGTTCTGATTGTGGCCAAGGAAAGATGAGCACTGTGTAGCTGTATGAGAGTAGAGAGTATAAAATACAACCTTTAATGAGTATTACATACCCAAACAGCATCTTAGAACCAGGAATCTTTTTTTAAGTTATTCTATTGTGGGCCAGAGGCTGCAGCTTTCTGGCCAGACACAACAATTTCCTGGACAGACCAGTTTCCTGTTATTCAAATTGAGTTGATTCCCTTTGTCTGATAATGGTTTTGAGCGAGTGCTCAAAGTAAGACTTCTCTACTACTCGGATCAGAAATGAGTGACTTGCAAAAGGATGGTTTCAAAATCCCTTGACATGGTATGTCCCAAGTCTATACTGTTCATCTGCTGATTTAATTTACAGATCAGTAAATACAGTATGATGTGGCAGAAGAGAGGAACTGCCAGCGGAGGAGAGGGTAACACGTAACCAAATATTCAGTACCAGCCAACTAGAGGATGGCAAAAGGGAAATGTGACAATTAGATTCACAACCAGCCAGAATCCCAGATCACTGGAATCATTGGATTTGGAACAAGGTAAAACACTGTTTCCTTTAATACCCTGTGTACCACTGCAATTGATGAACATAATGGTACTGGTATTTATGGAGAGATTGCTCAAGCTCTTTATGATACCAGGAGGAAAAGAAGATAAAACAAACTGGGAAGAGAAATGGAGGGGAAAGTAAGTGGTGTAAAAAATGAGGGCCAAATGAGCAGAGGAAGAAATAGATTCCCTACTGGATTTATCACTGAGCTTGGGGAAGGGTTTGTTTTAATTTAGAAAGTATTCAGCAACAAAGCATAGAACAAGAGAATGTAGAATTTAAAGTCCAGTGTGTTTAGACTTCCAGCGCTTCCTCAGTATTCAGGGTACACTTGTGCTTCCAAATGCTCTCTGCTTCAGCAGAGCAGCAGCTTCACTTGTCAGTCAGGAAAGCAGGCTATGAAAATCAAGTGACAGTAAATACACTGTGCTTAAAATAGAACGCCTTTTGCTCCAGAATCCAAAATGCAACAAAAGACATTCATAAAGTAAGTGTCTCTTCACAATGCTCTGTGAAAAGTAGCAATGTTAAACTTTTTTCCTAAAAGGAAGTACAGGAAAGTTGAAACATTTTTTTTTAAGAATATTTTTTAAAATTTCTGACTCAGTAAAGACCTCCTTATAAACAGCATATCCCTATTTAAGCATTCTTTATAAGATTTGCATGGATTTTTTTCTCCTTCCCTTTCTATATTTGTGAGATTGTTTTCAGTGAGGGAAAAAGGGGCTGACACTGGCCATGATCTTTCAAAGCAAATGGGTAACTGCAATGCCTGCATTAAGCTCCACATACAGCAATTTGAGAATGTATCCATATTTATACAGCAGTAACATTTATATATCAAGTGCTGTTCCATGGGCCAGGAGAGCAAGCCAAGAGAAGACAAAATGTTTTCCTCTAGCTTCCTTAAAAATAACCCCCCTTTTTTAATTAACTGATTCTTTTTTGTCTTTGTGTGTATCTGTGTGTGTATATATCATTGGGTCTGCCTTCTTACTCCAAGTAGTAACTTTCCTTGACCTGTGTAAGTCAAACTGAACATCAAGGCGGAGCTTTCAAAAAGACTGAATTCCTACCAGGTATGTGAAAGTGGACAGAAAAGAAAATCCCTATGAAAGGTGGTGCTGAACTGTAGCCTCAGCACACACTAGCTGATGGAGAGTGTACTAGCAAACAGGTAATACGAATAGTGCAACTAGCTGAAGGCATAAACTGGTTTTGCATTATTATGAGACATCAAGGAACACAACCATAAGCCAAAAAGCACTCCTAGTTTCACTTCTCCTGGAGCTTCTGTGTTTTGCTGTTAACTTTCTCTCAGGTGACCAGGTTCTGTTTGCTCTGTTACTCTTAAGTCTTAGGTTCACTACTTTCCTGGAAATTCCATGTGAGCCTTCTTTGGAGACATTTCTTCTTGGGAGCATTGGGACGTATCTTCTACAGCATGATATTTTGCTGCTTCTATTCTCTCTAGGTTGTTTTGCCTGTAGTTTCTGTTATCTTTGGTATGTCTTCCTTCTCCCAAGCTGGTCTCAGCTGCAGATTTCATTCATGTTTTCTTAACTCTGTGGTTTTGGTCACTTTATTTCATCTATCAAACACCATCCCTGGAGGATTCCATTAGGTAAATCATCATAAATCAAAACTTTATGGTTTTTTATTCTCTATTTAAGGTTCTGCAGCCTGTTTCAGATCTACTAGAAATCCATTTCCTATCCCACCCCATCCTATTATTCTTCTCAAAGTAACTTTCAATTAACTTTTAATCCACAGGCTTGGCTGGTCAGCATAGTTAGTGAGAGTATGAATTTATAGCACACTAATGCCCGCTCATCTAAATTCCACCCGCGGCCTGATACCCAGTACTTCCTACTGGCGTGGTGCTTCTCGAGCCCGAGGGCGGGCCAGTGGCAAATGCTGGGCAACGCAACTGGGGAGGAGTTAAGGGCGTCTGAATATACCACTTACCATCCACACAGTGAAAAGCAGCTTAGTCCAGCTTGTCTTTTAATACTGCTGGCGTCTGGTGGAAATGAGAGTAGCTAATTCCTTCGGCAGAGAGCCTACGGAAGCTGAGCTGGGATTTCTGCTAGCTTCCAGGTTATTACGTGTGGTATATTAAGACGGAGGAGGCAGACAGAGTCATAAACTTGAAGCTGTAAACATCATTGCATACGAAGTGCAGATGGCTATGCACATCCTTTTTGGCTTACTGAAAAAGCACAAACTCAAAGTGACTATAGCTTTTGGTGCTGACTGTACTAGATCTCAACAGACTGATATTATCGTAAATGAGGGCCGTGTGCTCAAATGCTTAGACCTGCATGGCGTGTATTCAAACTCTCCCACAGCCTTCTGTGCTTCAGAACAGATGAAGGGAGATCTGATTCACTGGTGAGGTACAGAATAAAGAGAAATTATTAATCCTTTATGGAATTTTCTTCTTAGTAGATGTGTTGCCTTCTTTCATGTGTCGGTGTGAATGAATGCGTAGGTGAGAACTGATTTTGGCAGGAGCGGGGTGAAATGCAGGTGGGGGGTGTCCAGGATCACTGGGAATGGAGAATTGCTTCCTTGCACAGATGGCAGCACAGAAGAAACCACAAAGATAGGAGGGGGAGAAGGAAGAAAAAGGATCTCGGAGCAAGTAAGAGTTACAGAACATTAAGTGAGAACATGCACTTGGATCCCCAAGGCGAGAGAAGTGGTAATTCAAGTGAAAAAACACCAGTTCAGCAGCGGCCGTTCGTAGTGACACGTTCTTTTATTATTGCATAGTTACTGACTGCTGGATGTTTGAAAATGCTCTGACGTCAAATAACCGTCTTGGAATGTTGGTCTAAGTAGACCTTTATCT